TAGATCACACTCCTCAAGCTTTTCTCCAGTGGAAACCTTTCTATATAATTCTTAAGTAGAAGTGTTTTTATAAGGTACTTTCCAGAAATCTAAATAAGGATGGCGAGCAATTTGACTGAGGATGAGTTTGGGGTTGCAGAGTATCCTCCCATGCCATGGAAGCTTTGTTGTGAAATAATCCTCTCATCTGATTTAGTTCAATGTCTCTAAAACATAATACTGTTATTAATTCTTTGGGAATTCATACAAGATATTCCGACCATATTCACCCTTCCTTCTGCAACCCCCAGATTGACCTCCTCCCTACCTATTCACCCAACTTATATTCATGTTCTCTGTCTCTCTCTGTCTCTCTCTGTCTCTCTGTCTCTCTCTGTCTCTCTGTCTCTCTCTCTGTCTCTCTGTCTCTCTCTGTCTCTCTGTCTCTCTCTCTCTCTCTCTCTCTCTCTCTCTCTCTCTCTCTCTCTCTCTCTCTCTCTTTCTCCTCCCCATCCTATTCGGCTTGCGGCTTTTGTTGGCAGAACACTGTGGGGTATGAGGCCTGCCCTCCCTGACATACTAAGGTCACACCATTAAATAAACTGGTTCTCTCTTTCCCAGCCACTATCAAATGCTAATAGCTCCTCAGCTAATGACAAGACTTCATGTCCACAATGTCCCCTCTATGCTGGGCGAACTGGTTAATTTTTTGTCAGCTTGACACAGGCAAGGTTCTTCTGGGAAGCTGTGACCTCAGTTGAGAAAATATAAATATGCCTCCATAAAAATGTGCCTGTTGGCAAGTCTGTGGGGGGAATTTTCTTCATTAATTATTGAGGACACCCCAGTCCCTTGTGGGTGGAACCACTTCTGGGTTTGATATTTAGTCCTGGGTTTTATAGAAAAGCTGCCTGAGCAAGCCATGGGGAGGGAGCAAGCTAGTTCAAGGCATTCCCCTGTAATCTTTGCTTTAGTTCCTGCTGCTAGGTTTCTGCCCTGTTTGAGATACTGGACCTTTAAATGTGAGTTGTCTGTCTCTATATACCCTCCACTACCTTGCCTTCCTATTCCCCATCATATTAAATCCATTCATTTTCATTTTCCTTATTGTCATTACCATGGAGGAGAACAGAAGAAATTTTCAAAACTTAGTTCACAATTTCATTATATATTCTATTTCATTTTAGAAATTTGAAAACTATTGTAGTTCACCAAATATCAGCAGTATTTCCTAAAAATGCTTTGCTGAATTCAAAACAAACTTCGATTACAGATCACCTTGTACCTGATTCACAGGTAAGTGCCTTCAACAAACTCTTCCACTCACGGAGTTTTCCCTCTACCCAGGAAGTAGGCATGTAAGAATCACGAGACAAAGGTTTAGGGCCTCTGATGCTTCCTCCAGTCCGACATTTGGTTTCTGGCAAAGTTAGGCAAAGATGATTTGTATGGCTAGCAGAACGTAGGGTAGAGAGTTAGGGTAATCTATGATAACTTTAGACTCTCTTCTTTATCCGTGAAGTCCACTGCTAAAGAAAAATTATAAAGTGGGAAAAACTGAGTGATAGATTGCTACCTCCTTCTCTGTATTGTTTCTGCTTCTCTGTTTGGCTCCTTGTTCAGCCCCTTTCCACAGGCATGTTACACTCTGAGTCTCCTTTCCTACCATTTCCTTGTGGCTTACTGGACAGGTTTTCATAGATATCATTCTTTTTCCTCGCCCTTCTCTGAATCAGCCACCAGTTTTCTTTTTTTTTCTATTTCTACATTAGATTGTGCTTTCAGATAATCTTTGAAATCACTGTATCTTTGCTTAAGGTATTTTAAGTGTCACCTAGAGTAGGATTTTAATTAAAATGTTATTTACACATCAATAAATATGTAGAGATACATTTCAAAGCTGCGGTTTCACATGATTTAAGCATTGATTAACTTGTTCCCCCAAACTAATTAAAGGATTATATTGTCTTTGAAATGGTACAAATATTGCATGTATGCTTAAATTAAAATCATGTCTTTTCAAATCCAAGTTTTAGGTATATTAAAGTGTTCTTTTTATGGATGGGGGTTGTTTGTTTATGGACTTTTATGGAAATCCTGAATTAGCTGGGCTTACTATTGCCTTAACACAATTTACACATATTTATTTATATTTTGTATCAATCCTATGATACACTACTATATCAACTTCAGATTACAGACACAGAAATTGCAGTATGGGAAAATTACAGTATTCCAAATTCAGCATGTCTTATTGCAGTGTTAGCACCATGAACAAACAGACAACAGAAAAGTAGTCAACGCTTTTAAACATTTCCTGTGCTTCGTGATTAGTAAATTAGCTGCCACCTCTTAATCCAAGGGCTGACCAGAAAAACAGGCACTGTCTATTTTGTACAATAAAGTACCAAACCCAAAGAAAGTACCAAACCCAAAGAAAGTAGATTCATATGGCCACATGGAGATCTACCTTGCCTGTGGTTTTAAGATCAGTTTTCTTGCTTGGCAGCCTTAATCTCCATTCTGAATGTCCAGAGGAATCTAGGACTCCAAGTCCTGAGATATTCCAGGTATCAGCAAATGACTGTTTTCTTCTCAGTAAGCAGCTAAATTCAGCTTCCTCCTTGTTGCTCCCTTTTAAGACATACCCTAGGAGTATGTCTTAAAGATACTTTCGTTCCAGTCTTTTGTTTGGTTTCTTCTCCTCTCCGACTCTCTTTGTCCTTGCTGAGTCTGTAACACCAACACTTTGATTGTAACATCACCCTCTTTGATTCTTTTTGGGTGTGGTTTCTCAAACGAGAATGTAGATGAATATTTAATTGGTTGTATTTACTTGAAATTATAAAACTATCCCCAACCCCCAACCCCCCCCCTTTTTTTTTTTTTTGGTTTTTCGAGACAGGGTTTCTCTGTGTAGCTTTGGTACCTGTCCTGGATCTCACTCTGTAGACCAGGCTGTCCTCGAACTTGCACAGAGATCCACCTGGCTCTTCCGATCCCTTCTTAATATGGGGAGATAATCAACCTGGCATGACAATTGTGGCCTCTGGAGTGAGATTCCCAAACTTATTTGTATGTGGCGTAGAGATAAGGTGTGTGATGTGGAGTGACAAAACCACAGCCTGGATTGTCCTTTCCCCTCCCCATTGGGTGGCAAGTGATCATTATCCTGACCTGGCTGAGATCTGAGCATCCTTAGATGCTTTTCTTTTTGTCTGAGGCTTTCCTCCTGTTTAAATTCTTGCTTATTTATTTTTTTATACTTTATGTGTATGAATGTTTTGGACACATGCATGGATGCCATATGCATGCTTGGTGCCCGAGGAAGTGGTGTTCCTCTACGTGGTTGACAATGGGAATCAAACCCAGGTCTTTTGGCAACATTGACTCTCCAGCCCAGTGTCCTGGCTTTTAAACTCTGGGTCTATCGGGGTTTGAGTCCACACTGCTCTTCTTGGTAGCTTTGAGCCCCGCAGTAAGTTCTCCTGTCTCCAAGCTTCTTTAGTAAACATGGGGATGATAGTTACCACTTCTTACACAGTCCCAAAAATCTCAGGACCTTCTGGTTTTAAAAATGTTAAGCACATGAGTATACACACAAGGTGTACCTGCCAGCCACAATCAAGCTGTTTCTTCATATTACTTCCATCAAACCATCTGTACATAATGTAGGCACTCACATACCCGTTCAGTGACTGGAACATGGTGATAATCTGGGGTCCACCCAATCTGTATGTCAGAGAGCAACCAACGTTGGGTAGAAGGAAGAAGGGGCAAAGAGGTTAAATGGCCTTTGACCTAAGTGATGAATGTCTTCTGCTACCAGATACCACTTGTTCTAAGAACTTTGGGAGGAACAAATGTGCTGTGGGTGTGTAGGAAAAATGCTGTGTCTTGCTTCTCAGTGAAAGAAAACAGCTGAGGTGGTTACTTCAAGTCATTTTTATTCTGTCATGCATTAGATTTATGCCTGTTCTGTTTAGCCTTTATCTCCACATCATTTTCTCCCTGCAGGATTATTTGTTTACAGCTCTTTAATTTATTATCCTTTCCAGGGTCAAGGACATTCCACCATTTCTCACCTAAGACTTGGGAATACATTGTCTTTACATTTCAAGCCTCAAATATTGTGACGTGAAAAGACAGACTGTGTTTGGCATGATGTTACAGCCAAAAGATTGTGAATTTCATTGAAGGGTGAAAGACGGCAGAGCTTGCAGAAAGTTAAAACAGGGCAGGTATTCATACCTCCTGTGTGTTTGGAATTTTCTCAGCTTCTTCGTTTTTTGGATTCACTTCATCTTTTGATTTGATTTAGAATAGCTTCCCGAGGCATGGCCCACACATTACACAATTCACCCACTTGAGGACTACACTACAGTGGCTCCTAGTCTCTTTAGAGCGAGTTAGGCAGAGGTTATCACATTCCATTTTAAAACAGTTTTGTTGACTCCAAGAAATTTCACAACCCTGTGTTCTCTGAAAGAAAGTCAGAAAAACTCCAAAGGGGCAAATTACAGAAGGGGCAGTCTTAGAAATACCCGCAAGTCCTTTGTGCTCCTGCCTCTGAATCCAGTGGAGTGGACTGGCAGGTGCCTCCAGATCCCAGCTGGGCTACCTTTCCCTAGTGGCCCTGCTGTCAATCACTCTGGGAAGCCCTCCCCACCCCTGTGGTCTAACCCTCCTTCCACGCCTCCTCTCGGCTGCCAGGAAATCCTGGAACAAACGTTGCCCTGGAGCTGCTTGTGGTTTTAGTAACTAGGGTCTGAGTTGAATTTTAAGCAAAGAAATAAATGAGTAAAGGAAAAATAAGACCCCAGGGTTTCGCCGTCATGTCCAGAGTTACGTGATTCTGCCGCGGAGGGGGGGGGGGGGACAGAGAGACACACACTTGGTTTAAAATGAGCCATGGGGCTCTTGGGCCTTGTTCTAGGTGTCCTCCTGTATCTAAGTCCCGGAGGCGCTCTGTCAAGTGACAAGTGACTGCCATGGATTGAAAAACCCGTGTTAGAGTTGAATGTAAGGGGTGACGCAGCTCAACTTCTGTGGACTCCTGCCCCATGTCCCTGGGTCTCCGCTCCAGCCTGTTGCTTTCCTGGTGACTCCAGGTCGGTTTTTAGGGCAGACTTCACTTTGACTTCCAAACTTCTAGGCTAGGGGCTCACTTCGGAATTAATCCCCGCCTCCTGCCTCCCTGCAAGCTCCCCTCAGGGGCAGTTGTCACCACAGCTGCTGGGCCTGCAACTAAGCGCAGAGAAGAAGAATGAAGCCTTCCTGGCTGCAGTGTCGCAAAGTAACAGGCGCCGGGACGCTTGGGGCGCCCCTGCCAGGGTCCCCTTCGGCCAGAGCAGCCGGTGCAGCCCGAAGGGCTTTGGTGGCCGGTCTCGGGGGCCGGGGCTGCAGGACTCTGACCACCTCCAGTGGTGGCGAGTACAGGACCCATTTCGCAGCCTCTGTGGCCGACCCGGAGAGGTTCTGGGGTAAAGCTGCTGAACAGATCAGTTGGTACAAGCCCTGGACCAAAACGCTAGAAAGCAGCTACCCGCCTTCCACTAGCTGGTGAGTGACCGGTTAGTCAATTCCAATACCTCCTAACTTCTTGGATGCCAAGGGCAAGAAGGTCTTGGACCAGGAATCTGGAGTTCTACCAGGGGGAAAAAAAAAATCAAAATTTAAGATGCTTTCAGCTCTTTCCTTGGTTGGTTGGTTTCACTCTCACAACTGTCCTACATTCTTCTTTTGAAGTACTTGGTTATCTAGAGCGATCCCAGTTTCAGGTAGAGATTTACTTGCAGTAGCTTTTCATAGCTGCAGTGGGGATGTTGAGAGATCAAAACAAAGGCTTCCCAAAACAAAGGCTTGCCTGCATGGACTGGACTGCACCTCCTGGAAGAGGAGACACCATGTAAACAAACACAGAGCATATATAAGGCTAGGAAATGATGGACCTGACTGTTGCAGGGAGGAAGGGGGTTGAGGAAAGTCTTCAGTAAAAATGTCACTGAGCGGGTTTGGAAGGATGAAACATTATCTTCTCAAGGCTGACATGATAATTATCAAAGTCCAAGGGCATAGAAAACAGCTGGAAGGAACTGACACTGTCATTGTTTGGGCTGGAGAAGTGGGAGGAAAGGATTAGGGTAACAAGAGACTTAAAATAGTGTGCTGAATAGATGCGAGGAGGCCCAGACCCATAGGCCTGTTGTGTTTAGGACACCCAAGCAAGGATAGCCCAGGGGCAAGGTGTTGTTAGGACTCATGATTGGAAGAAAGTTTTCTTCTTGAAGTTTCAATTATAAATACTTGCAAACATTTTTTTAAATATATATTACAATAAACAGACACACTGTAGAAGACATTGTTAGGCTATTGAGAGTGAGGCCCACAGTGTGTGGAAACCTAACTGGTGATTTCTAGATGCCTAGGCCTTTAAGGATATGGTTGCTTGCATCCGCTAATCATTAGGAAAGGTTATTATCTGTAAAATTGGAAAAAGCACTGCTTAGCAGAGGAGGGCAGTGCATTGGTCAAGCTGATATTTGGCCCTTTGGTGGATGCCTTTCTTCTCAGAGCAGAAAGTCTGTAAGGAAAGTGGCTGGATCCTGTTCTGTGTCCTGTCATGCTTTGTCTCCTCTTGTGTTTGTTTTGTGGGAATGTTTACATGATGCTTCTTCCAAGTGTGAGTCCCTTGCCCCTCCAGTTCCACTTACTTTTCCAGTAGTATTTGATTGATCCACCTGTGTGTGCTGGCGGCGAACCGGGCATGAAGTATATAGCCATGACTGAAAAAGCAATGTTTACTCTCTGGAACAGCCTGCCTGGATTCGAGTTCTCCCCCCTCTCAGTTACTGGACTCAGAGTCAAGTGACTTCTTGGTGCGTCATTTCTGCTCTCAGGATCAAATCATTAGTTTGAGGACTAGCTGATTCAAGGATTAAGGCCGAGTAACCCTGTGGATTAGACCCTATAATTATTACTAGAGGGAAAATTATCTTTTTGTTTTCACATTATGATCATTGCAGGACCAGGCAGCATTCCTGGTGTCCCTCACATCACAACAGAGATCATCATCTGAGGTTATTCTCAAAGCTCAGTCTTCACATGTCTGTCATGAATGTTGTTCTCTAATAATCTTATGGGGGCACTTTTACCCCAAAACCAATATGCAGAGATTTCAGTGAAGAGGTCGTGGTTGAGGGGGTGGTAGGGGTGGTGGTGAGATGGCTAAGTGAGTAAAGGCTCTTGATGCCTAATTGGATGGTTTAGGTTCAGTCCTGGGGACTGTCATGGTGGGAGGGGAGAACTGACTTCCAAAAGCTTCCTCTGATATCTGTACCCATGCTATAACATGCACACACACACACACACGCACACACACACACACACACACACACACACACACACACACACACAGAAGAGACATACAGAGACACAGACAAACACAGAGAGACACACATACCACACACATACAGACACAAACACAGAAGTCACACACACAGACTCACATACACAAACACACACAAATGCACACAGGGCACGCACCAGGGAGACACACAGAGATACACATACACACAGAGACATACACACACAGACACACACACGAGACACACGCAGGGATACACATACACATACAGACATACACACACACACACACACACAAGAGACACAGAGATACAGAGACATACAGACATACCACACACATCCACACACATCCACACACATCCACACACAATAAATAAATCCATAAATGCAGTTAAAACCGTTTTACGAAGAGGCCACTAGGATACTGTAACTGAAAACTGAAGTAATCAAATAAGGATTGGGCAATAATAAAGAGAGAAGAGAGAGAGAGAGAGAGAGAGAGAGAGAGAGAGAGAGAGAGAGAGAGAGAGAAGAGAGAGAGACTGCAGTGATTGCAGAGGGCTTGTGTCAGTCAGTGAAGGCAAAGGAATCAGCAAAAAAAAGAAGTGCATGTGAGTGGCCAAAGGTCACTTAAGATGTGGGATCTCCTTTCAAATAACTATTTTTGTTATTTAAACTCCAGTTTTTAGCCTACATTTTCCAAATGTTGTGCACAGGAAATATTGCTTTTCATGAGAACTTTTAAGAAAGGTCCTTGTCTGTAAATCATTTCAATACATTGTAGATCAGCAGCTTTTGCTAATGTCGCACCTGAATTATTCATCTTTGGACTCTTAGAGTCACTCTCTCTTACCTCTGCCATGGCATTCGTGAAGATCAATATGAATAATCAAATTTTTAGCCCGAACAAGTTCAGAGGTCTGACTCAGTCTTACTAAGACATTTGGTGGGCAGAGCAGAGTTGAGGAAGGGGCAGAACGGGGACACCAAAATTCACTTTCATTCAGTAGATGGCTTCAGTTTGAGTTACTATCACTACACCATACTGTTATGTAATTTGCAGCTATTCCTGTTTGGTTAGTGATTTCTAACAACGCCAAACACAAGGAAAGGTGAATGTTGTCTGTCCTCCTATATATCTCTGTGGGCTAGGGTGGAGCTAGCATATATTTTTAAAGATGGTCATCGAATAGCAGCCTTCTTCGACAAAAAAGACAAACCATTTATTGCTGTGTTTGAATGGTGAATGACTCAATGTGAGGCAACTCCAGTCAAGTTCTTCAGCAGAATGAGAGGGGTTGCCTTAGGGAACTGCATGTTCCCAGTAGTAGCTGCTAAACCTGTGGCACAGTTGCTGACTCTTGTTGACTTCCTACAAGCCAGGTACATTTTCTGTCACGACAAGGCCATCTCTTCATTTTCCTAATCATAAACTTGCCTCAAATATGCAGGCTTATCAAAGTGCTGCTAACACATGTGGCATTGCAAACTAATTTCTGAAATGCCATAAAGTCCCCAATATTTTACACGAACAGGAATATAAACAAGGAATAGGAATCTTAAGGCTAACATGTAGACTTTACAGCATAAGCGAGTAACTGGAACACATCTCTAGTCCTGCACTCTGAGATCTCTGAACAGCAAAGGCCAATATTAGACATGTGCTTTAAACTTGCAAAGTACCAGCTCGCCTTAGGGTTTGATCATTTCTTCTTATTGATACCTTGCTTTCTGGATATTAAAATCTCTATTTGAGAGACTCTCAGGGAAATTGTAGTCACAACTGGAACAACTAGAAAGTCTAGTAATTTCTTTAATCTTGGAACACAATAGTGGATGTTCTGGGTTATTAATTTTTTTCCAGTGAAGAGCCATCCTTTTGCCTATCCTGAAATTGAAATACAACTGTTTCTCTCTGAAGGATTAGGGAGTTCACTTTTCCGTTTTGAATATAGTCTACGTTCTAGGCCATCAATAATCGATTCCTTTCTATAGGAGTACCACAATCCAGTTTTAGCTCAGCCTTATTTAAACAACATTCAGTTTGAAGATTCTCTTGGCCAGGCAGTGGTGGCACATGCCTTTAATCCCAGCACTCGAGAGGCAGAGGCAGGTGGATCTCTGTTAGTTCAAGGCCAGCCTGGTCTACAGAGTGAGTTCCAGGAAAGGTGCAAAGCTACACAGAGAAACCCTGTCTCGTAAAAACAAAAAAAACAAAAAAAAAAAAAAAGAAAGAAAGAAAAGAAAAAGATTCTCAGTATCTGGGGGCTTGATGATTATGGCTCAGTAGGTAAGAGCACCTGTCACCAAAGGTGGCAATCTGAGTTCAATCCTGCCAAGTTGTCCTCTGATCTCCACAGGTACACCTTGGCATGTCCTACTCAAATAAATAAATAAATAAATAAATAAATAAATAAATAAATAAATAGATTCTCAGAATTTGAATCACAATCAAATATGCATTATTATAAACTGAAAATGAAAAGACTAAATTTAAATGACTAGAAAAGTGCTTAATCTAGACTAACCTTCCGGCAGTGGAAATAGTGTGGTTTGAAAAGGTACACGATCCAGATCCATTTCCTGCTCAATTTACACTTGTTTTAATCCTGCCACGCTTTAAACTGGCTCAGTAAAACGAAAGGATATCGACCTCATGCTCACCACGTCTACACTACGTAGGTAACGATGGGGAGATGGTGAAAGGATTCAAGGTAAGGCCTGAAGCACATCATTACAAAACTGTAATGGCAGGGGCTGGGGACGAGATCACGGAGAGGGCCAGGGAGCTAGTGTGTGCCAAGAAGGGCTAAAGGGGAATCACAGCCCTGGGACTCTAGGTCTTTAAGCAGAACTCTGATAGGTAACAAGACATTTTTGTGTTGCTAGCAATATGGTAAATCCAGGGAGATAAAGTCTCGAGGTCCCTGGAGGGTAGTTAACAGTGTACCAGTGGCTTATAGAGTTTTTTTTTTTCCTCGGAGTCGAGAGTGCCTGATTATAGAAGATAGCCTCATGATGGCTTCAGAAGGCCTGGAGTAGCTAGCAAGCAAAGACATGTGCAGCTTCATATGCTGCCAGTCATAATCAGAGAAGTCTCCAATGGCTGTGCCTTACTGAGGTGATGTTTTATTTCTTTATTTATTTGCATGTGTTTATTGATTTATCCTTTAGCAATTTTGTACATGTATATTATA